CGGTTTCTTTGGCGTTTTTGCAGAGGACGTTTGAGTTTATCGGCGGACGGTCGGCGGACGGACTTTGCGGCGGGATTGAAGGTGAGGTCTTTCCTTCGGGCTGCTCCGTGTTCTCCGGGATCATGAGGAGAATGGGCTCCGATCCGTTTTCCTCTGGGTCTCGGCTCTGGAGCTGAGGAGCGGAGGAGCTCGGCCTCGGGAGGACTGAAGCTCGCCGCGCATGGTCGGGATCTGCCGTCCTGCCGCTCTGCGACGTGCATGGCCTAAACAAATGATCACTTTTATGAAGAAGCTGGCAGCAGAGATGGGCCAGGACCAAACCAAACAGCAGATCGAGAAGGGCCTGAAGCTGTACCAGACCAACCAGACCGACCGGGCGCTGCAGACCTGGATCCGGGTCCTGCAGAAGACCTCCGATCCTGGGGGAAAGTTCAGGGTGCTGGGCTGTCTGATCACGGCTCACTCTGAGATGGGCAAATACAAAGACATGCTGATGGTAAGAATCAACACTCTGAGAGTAAAACAGACACCACTTCATAAAACTCTTTTATTATTATTATTATCTAATGTTGTTTCCTCGTCAATCAGACCTCGAGTCGTGTTTTGTTTCATTCTCATGTTTAACACAAACCTGCACATTTAGACAGTTCTTCTGTGAAGTGCTCCACTGTGTTTTTAAACTCCACACTCCTTCACTAGAATCATTTGGATGATTTGAAATCCTGGGATTTCCGATCTCCAACCTGTTCACGTGAAAACTACAGTTTCATGACATCACAAGGTGGATCAGAGCGTTTGGAGAAGTAAACAGACTCAGAATAACCAGTTAAAGAAAGAAACAAAACAAAAGACCAGTTCTGTTTTTGAGGAGAAACAGATTAAAGTTCACACTTTAGTTTAGAACCTTTAATAACACGTGTGTGAAACGGGCTTTTCCGGGCCTGTGTTTGTGAGTTTGTCTCATGTGAAACGGGCCGTGTGCCTGTTTCTTCTGGAGCTTGGATTAATCTGAGGCATTCGTGTGATGCAGAGTAAATGGGTCCCTGTAACCTGAGCACTCGGGGGGATCTTGTTGACATAATCATCTTTACTCCAGCAGCGACTCCCGCTCATAACCTGCCCCGACAGAACCGGACTGAACAGAACAGAACAGAACCAAACAGAACTGCCCCGACAGAACCGGACTGAACAGAACAGAACAGAACCAAACAGAACTGCCCCGACAGAACCGGACTGAACAGAACAGAACAGAACCAAACAGAACTGCCCCGACAGAACCGGACTGAACAGAACAGAACAGAACCAAACAGAACTGCCCCGACAGAACCGGACTGAACAGAACAGAACCAAACAGAACAGAACAGAACCAAACAGAACAGAACAGAACCAAACAGAACAGAACAGAACAGAACTGGACTGACCTGACACCCAGATGTGAACAGGACTGTGGGTTTTTATGTTCAGAGTTACGAGCTCCACAGTGAAAAGATTCACTCTGTCAGTGTTATTTCAAACCTTTTCAGTGTAAAATGTGTTGGTGTTGTATTGACTCTGCAGAGACGTCACACTGACTTGATGTTCTACATGTGTGTCTATGGTGGAATGTTCATCAGTTACCATGGTGACACAGTGCACAGACACACACACAGACAGACACAGACACACACACACACTATACACACACACATACACACAACACACGCACACATACACACATACACACACACATGCGCACACACACGCACACACACACGCACACACAGAGTGAGCAGATTTTCAAAATAAAACACTGGGGCGTCTCTGGTTTGTGGAGGTTGGTGAGAATAAACAACATAAACATAATGAAGTAAAACTGTTGCACTCGACTCTAATGTGACTCACTAAAGTCACATTTTATTTGTGTTTTGTCGTTTTTAATCAGATTTTCTGTATTTTACCCAAACAAAAGTCAGTTTGTGTCTCTTTACTGTTGCAGGATCAGATTGGTCCAAAACAGAGACACTGGGACATTTCTGTATAAAACTGGGACAAATCAGTGGTTTTGTATAAATGTGTGGGACAGGACGGGGACACAGGGACAGGACGGGGACACAGGGACAGGACGGGGACACAGGGACAGGACGGGGACACAGGGACAGGACGGGGACACAGGGACGTGTGGACGCTCTAATCTAAGATACAACTTAAAATCAAATATAAATATAAATAATGCATTTATTGACGTGTGTATTTAAAGACACATGTTCATGTTTCTGTTCAGTTTGATTCGACTCTAAAGTTGAGACTCAGCGTCAGCTTGTGTGTGTGATGTTCAGAGGGACGTGTTTCACAGCTCAGGTCCTGTCTTCTGTTGGAGCTCAGGTCACTCAGGTCTTTATGGTCATACTGAGTTAAAACAAAAGTCAGATTAAAGTTTAACATGAGAAACAGGTTCAGACAGAGCAGTGCCTCCAGTTAGCGTCACAGCCCAGAGAATGACGAGCAAAAAGAAATTTAAATTCTGTCTTGTTTAAATTTATTTTGCTTTGTCACAGAAATGACACAAGAACAGAACGTCCCCGTGTCCCCGTGTCCCCGTGTCCCCGTGTCCCCGGGACAGTCACAGAAATGTCCCAGTGTCTCTGTTTTGGACCAATCTGATCCTGCAACAGTAAAGAGACAAACTGACTTTTGTTTGGGTAAAATACAGAAAATCTGATTAAAAACGACAAAACACAAATAAAATGTGACTTTAGTGAGTCACATTAGAGTCGAGTGCAACAGTTTTACTTCATTATGTTTATGTTGTTTATTCTCACCAACCTCCACAAACCAGAGACGCCCCAGAGTTTTATTTTGAAACTCTGGTCCCTGTGTTTTATTTTGAAACTGTGGTCCCTGTGTTTTATTTTGAAACTGTGGTCTCTGTTTTATTTTGAAACTCTGGTCCCTGTGTTTTATTTTGAAACTCTGGTCCCTGTGTTTTATTTTGAAACTCTGGTCCCAGTGTTTTATTTTGAAACTGTGGTCCCTGTGTTTTATTTTGAAACTCTGGTCCCTGTGTTTTATTTTGAAACTCTGGTCCCAGTGTTTTATTTTGAAACTCTGGTCCCTGTGTTTTATTTTGAAACTCTGGTCACAGTGTTTTATTTTGAAACTCTGGTCACAGTGTTTTATTTTGAAACTCTGGTCACAGTGTTTTATTTTGAAACTCTGGTCCCTGTGTTTTATTTTGAAACTGCGGTCCCTGTGTTTTATTTTGAAACTCTGGTCGCAGTGTTTTGAAACTCTGGTCACAGTGTTTTATTTTGAAACTCTGGTCACAGTGTTTTATTTTGAAACTCTGGTCCCAGTGTTTTATTTTGAAACTCTGGTCCCTGTGTTTTATTTTGAAACTCTGGTCCCTGTGTTTTATTTTGAAACTCTGGTCACAGTGTTTTATTTTGAAACTCTGGTCACAGTGTTTTATTTTGAAACTCTGGTCACAGTGTTTTATTTTGAAACTCTGGTCACAGTGTTTTATTTTGAAACTCTGGTCACAGTGTTTTATTTTGAAACTCTGGTCCCTGTGTTTTATTTTGAAACTGTGGTCCCTGTGTTTTATTTTGAAACTCTGGTCACAGTGTTTTGAAACTCTGGTCACAGTGTTTTATTTTGAAACTCTGGTCACAGTGTTTTATTTTGAAACTCTGGTCCCAGTGTTTTATTTTGAAACTCTGGTCCCTGTGTTTTATTTTGAAACTGTGGTCTCAGTGTTTTATTTTGAAACTCTGGTCCCTGTGTTTTATTTTGAAACTCTGGTCACAGTGTTTTATTTTGAAACTCTGGTCCCAGTGTTTTATTTTGAAACTCTGGTCAGCCTAAACTGATGAAACACTGAGACAAATCTGCACCAGGAAACTCTTGATAAACTTGTACAGTGAGTGGTACTTTCACATGAGCTGTGACCGGTGACGTGTGACGTGTGACGGGTGACGTGTGATGTGTGACGTGTGACGTGAGACATGTGAACCTGAAATATTCCCCAGGGTCGTTTCAGCCTGTGGAACCTTCAGTCCAAGACGCTTCAGTCCCAAAACTACACGACCCATAATCCTCTGCTCTGCTCTGATCTGCTGTGGTTTCCGGGACTCCTGTTTTGTTTCATTCACGTGTTTAACTCACAAAACCTGAAAACACTCTGTTCCACCTTGTGATGTCATCATGTGGTGATACAGGAAGTGCTCCACTGTGTTTTTAAACTCCACACACCTTCACTAGAATCACCTGGAGTGAACTAAAGGGAAAAGCAGCTGTTAAATTGAAAAGTCCCACTTCATGACAAAACACAAGTCCAGTTCTGTTCCTGAGGAGAGAAACGTCATCACACCACGACTTAAAGTTCACCGGAGTCACTTTAGTGTTTTATAGGAGCTTTTTTTTTTTTATAATAAAATAATGAAACGAGTTAAACATAATGAAGTAAAACTGTTTTCTTTGTGTTTTATCGTTTTTCATCAGATTTTCTGTATTTTACCCAAACAAAAGTCAGTTTGTGATCAGATTGGTCCAAAACAGAGACACTGGGACATTTCTTGTATAAACTGGGACAAATCAGTGGTTTTATATAAATCTGTGGGACAGGGGACACGGGGACAGAACAGGGACACGGGGACAGGACGAAGACATGGGGACGTCTGGTCTCTGCACTTGAGCGGTTTGGGGGATTTTGTACGAGACTCTGTGGATTTGTTTTATACAAAAGAGTTCATCTGGATTTTTTATGTTCACTTTTGTTTTTTGTTTTTTTCTTCCTTAAAACCTTTGACTATGTTTGCTGATGTGTGTGTTGTGTCACCATGGTAACTCCTAAACATTCCACCATTAGAGGTCCATGTAGAACCCCCCCAGAGTGATGTCACTTAAGTCTCACGTCCCCCCATGTCCTGTGCTCCTCAGTACGCCCTGGAGCAGATCGACACGGCTCGGGAGATGGAGGACCCGGACTACCTGACGGAGGGCTACCTGAACCTGGCCCGCAG